AAAAAAAAAAAAAAGAGAGAGATTAAAAGGTTTGCTCTATGGCAGTAAAAGTTTACTAGACAAATTTCTACAATTAAATCCTAATGACAATTCTTATAGCTTCTATAAGTCCTAATGACAATTTACGTGGGTTTTGGGGCAGCAATTCAATTTTTTACAATCTATCAGTTTACCATTATAGCTAAGACTGCTTTTTTGGGCTTCCACAGTATGGGTAATTAGGTCTATTAAAACAAAAAAGTTAATATTACCAAATATTCATGAAATAAAGCTTTCAGTAAAAAAATTATAATCCAGAATATTGAATAATTTATTCTAGCTTTTCCTACTGCAGAAATTAGTGAAATTTTATTATTTCCTCTTTGCTCCTGAAGAGAAAATACTTCCTTGTTTGAAATGTTTCCTTGTGATGATTTCTGGTGCCACTCAAGAAACGATACTCCCTTAGGAAGGGAAAATTCCTTAACAATGTGAATTCTTCAACAATAATACTGACCTTTTTTTGCCTGTTCTCTTATTTTAATAAAGAAATACATTTTAAGTTTACATTAAATGTTGTCAACTTATGTGCTGCTTTAGACATTTAGGAAGCATGAGATATGCTACAAAACTTTAGGATTCAGGAGCTTTAAAAGCCAAAAATAGTTTTTTATCAGATGATAAATTATCACAGCAGTATTAGATGCACTTAAAGAAAATAGTTAAATTGAGTCAGCATTACTATTTGCCTCTAAAAAACTAAGCTTTATATATTAAATTTGACTGAGTCTTTTCATAATTCCACAATAGCTATTGAGCAGAAAAAACATGTTTGGCTGAAGAAATAGTTCATTTGAAGTGAAATGTTTCATTAGCAATGTATTTCATCTGTCTTGAATCTGAGCAACTCAGCATACCTTATGTGCCTTAAAAGCTCTAGTTATCTCAAAATTCTACTCCTGCTCTCAGCCTTTGCCCCCTGCAAATTGATGGTGTTTAATACTGTTAAGATAAATTTTTGGTTTGCTATTTGAAAGGCATTTGCATTTAAGAGATACTCCTCAGGGTCAATCTAACATCTCCATGGGAGGCCTTTAAATTCCAGTTCAAGGAACAATCTATAGTATTTCAAGTAAAAACTAAATCAATAAACCTATATTTTATCTATAAAAATACCACTTGTCAAAAATGCATTACATCAGGAATTTTATGAGCAGCATTTATAAAACAAGAATTATCTGACACTAAGAAATAAATATGGCCACGTAGATTTAGATCAGCACATGATTCAGTTTTTTATCACACTGTTAGCTGAATCCTTGGCAATTTCTCACAGAATACTAAAAACTACTGTCCCCAACGGATCACTGAGGATTAATGGGTATTCACTTATAGTTGGGACCCAACACCTGGCTCTACTTTCTTCAGTAGTATTATCTATGTATACTATTCTATAGAAGCAAGTCAACTCCATGTTATAAAGCACCATAAAGTATTACATTCTGTACAAAGGAAGTAAATCTGAAAGTTTTAAAACAGGATTCCTGGGAAGGCACTTTAATTAGTCATGAAAGGAACCACAACAATTAGATTTCTTTTTTATATTTCAGGCTCCTTAATACTGTTCAAACACATCTTGATCACAAGATTTTCAATAAATTAAATGCTGTTCATTTAAGAAAGGAGGAACACAGTCCACACTCTGACGGAGGAATTAGGAAGAGTAAATTTGCCTCTAAAAGAGAAGAATGTTACAACTGTAAGAAGGGTAAAGCTTGGAATGATGTCACATGCCTATAATCCCAGTATTCTGGAAGGCTGAGGCAGAAAGATCCCAAGTTTGAGCTGTGCCCAGGCAACTTAAGTGAGGCCATTGAAAAAAAAAAGGTAAATTATATTAAGAGAAATAGATGGAACCAAGGTAGAGTTAGGGCTGTTGATTTAAAAAAAAAAGGGGGGGGGGTGGCCAGGGATTTAGCTCAGTGGT